ATTTTTTTGAGGGGGGTGAGGGTTAGGTGTGAGACGACCCAAAGCCGGGCAGGTACCTGAGGTAGCCCTTTTCAATAGTTAGCTGTAGCTGTAGATTGAGGGACTAATACTGGGTGCTTACAGAGTGAGGTTGTCCGTACCGGTGTATCAGATCGTAGGTGTCTCTCTCGCTCTAACTTCATAGATGAAGGGAGTCATAATTCGAGCAGAAAGAGAGCATGTATCTTACCCTGACTTACCGCATGACCTTGGCTGGATGCGAGATTAAGCCAAGATTTAAATGCGAAGTAGTGCTTGTATGAAGACTTTCTGGCCTCTAGTAAGGCCCTAGATATCCTTGCTAGAGAAAGACCAGGGAAAAGCCTTCCATACATCTTTCAGGTACATTTTAGTCTTGATCTGGATGATCTAATAGTTATTAATTCTTAACGGGCTTACCTGGTGACCTTTTGTGTTAAGGGCTGCATGCATATACTAAGTGTTCCTTACAAAGAAAAGTGTATTTCTGTTTTTCACAATTGGTTGAAAGCAGCACTTGCAGCAAGACGCCATGTTTCCAGTGTATGCTATTTTTGTCTAGCCTGTGCTCTCACAGCCAGGAGTGACAGCTTTAGGAAATGTGGACACTGCTATCAAGCTCTGAAAACTAATGCTTCCAGGTGCCATAAATCAAACGTGCTGTATGTGTGTTGGATTGTTTTTAGCTAACAAGACTTTTTAGGTTGGTGTCATAAAGAGAAGGGAGTGCAGAAGTTGACAGACAAAAACTGCATTTCAAACCCTTTTGGAAATCCTCCCTTTGACCAAGTTTTCATTTTTCTTATTCCCTCTCTGTAAAGAATAAGCCCGATGATTTTGCTAAAAAGATAATTCTGCGATACTGGTGGCAGGATGTTCACATCCTGTGAGCTGAACTCACCTTTTTCTGGGGTGTTTCAGTCAGTATACTTAATGTTGTGAAGTTGTGAGTCTAGCTTAAAAAAAAAAAGCTTAGTGGATGGAACATATAGCTAAATAGAAGGCTAGCTCTAAGTATTTATGTGCTTAAGGTCTTACATCCTAATAGTCACAGAGCATCTTTATGATGATCTCCCAACTTTTTTGATAGCATCACACGTTCCAGGGACTAGTTTGTCTGAAAGGCAGTGTTAAAACATGCTAGAAAGTGTAATTGTACAAAATCTGTTAGAGAAAGAATCAGATCAACATTGGAACCTTCACAAATGTGTATCTTATTTTTAAGTGTAAATCTTGTAAAATCTTCTTTTAAAAAGAATCTTGTGTACATCGAATGCTAAATAGTGGTCTCCAGTTCTTGACTTGTGTGAATTAGGCAACTACCCTTTTTTTTTTTTTTTTGCTAGGTTGTATTCTTTTAAGTGTGAACTCCTTAAGTTGAAGGCTAGAAAACATAATTAAAGTTAAGGTAGAAGACCTGGTGGACAAGATTTCCTTTCTCTATGTGGGTCAAGTGTAACCATCAGGATCTTCTGTAGGGATTCTTTGCAGTTGCAGTCTAAGAAGCAACAAAAACATGCAAGGCTTGTTTGTGCTGTAATTGTAAGACCACTGCTCTACTGTTCATTTTGCTGCTGGCACAACAGCATCAATAGAGTTCAACACAACTGATGGTACTCTAAGTTTGAACATATTAGTTTTAGACATGAAATCTTTATGCACCTGCTGAAACAGCAAGCTCTTTGTTGGTTCAGAAAGCTAGTGTTTTCTTTTTCACCTTGCAGACTGTAAGGCAAACATATACAGAGAAACACTTTTTAATGAAAGTAAAATAAAGCAAAGATGGTGTTACTTATAGTGCATACTGGTATTTCTGTTCATAACAGTAGTACCTGTTGAGAGAGCACTCAAAGGTTGGCATAAATGGCTTGTTTGATGAGTGAAGAATCAAAGAGAAAATCAAAGTAGAGCAGGGCTCTGGCAGGGAGGTGCTAGTTTTATGCTGGCTGTAGTCTAGGAGGCTGGATACTTTTTTACAGGTGCCTGTGTAGACTCTCCAGAGTTGAAGTAATTATTAACTTCTTGCTGGAACTACTAATAGACTTGATAATCTTCAGCTACCTCATTGAGTAATTAAAAAACTAAAAATTAAAAAGTCTGATCTTCAGCTGCTCTAAAAGAATCCCTGAAACTTTGCAGGCAGTGAATATTATACTGGTGTGAGGTCCTAGTTTTGCTATATTAAGTCTGGACCTCTTCCAGAGAGACATAGCTGGTGGAGTACTGCTTTCAGAGCTAGAAGATTATGAGCTGTCAGTTACGTACAAATAATCTGTTACGAACCTGATTCCTTGCTGAGGCAAATGTGAAATGCTGCATTCTAGAATGCTGGTGGCCATCTTCCATTTTCTTCTGCAGTGCCCTGTACTGTTTTCTCATTTCACTTATGACTGCTATTAGGCCGACTTTCTGTTTTGTTTTTAAGTGTCTAACAGTGCCACGGTGGATCAGTCTTAAGTTCTAGGATCCAGTCTATATATGAAGGTTAAGAGTCTTCTGTGCCTCAAATGGGTAGAGGTGAAAGAGCTGACTCTCTTTACAGGTATCTGTTGCTTGACATGCAGAAAATATTTTGTTGAATCGTAATCCCAGTGATTTTAATCCAAGTGGGAGTGAGCTTGAATTTCAGTGTAATGTCTGCATAGCTAGGTGTTCTAATCTGCCTCTTCTGACTGCTTATGAGTAACTCTTGCTTTTTACTTTAAGAAGCTGCAATGGAGCCAAATGGAAAAATCGCAAACCTAAGAGAAGAAGACTGGACCTGCTGCCAACTTCATCGAGTTGTTGGAGCAGCTCTTGGATGTCAAAACAAAACCTGTTCTAATGGCAAAATCATAGGGTCTAAGTAGCTACTTTATCGCAAAGCAGTCTGGAGAGCAGTATAAGCATAAAGCTGGCTTATTTTTCATTAAAAAATGAGTAAACAAATCATTCATACTAGCACTATCCTACTGCCCTTTAGGATGAAATTTGCATGTTTAAAAATGTAATTTTACAGAAAAACATTACTTCTAATTGTAGGGTAAATGAGATTGGAATAGGTCCAGTTAGAAATGAGGAAGTCCTTCACCCAGGTATAGAAGAAAGCCTGTTTTGGAGAATCTGATTCAGGATTATTAAAAAAAGTGTAGGAATATTTCTGTGAATTCTCAAGGCCTTGAATTTTGAGAGAACTCGGATGTTCAAGAGGAGTTCACTTTGTACTTCCATCAAATCACAAGGGCCTTTTTTTTCCTGTAATGCTAAATGCAACATAGCTGTCTTTTTCTGATGATGCGAAATGTTACTAGTTGGGCTCAGGGCAGGTCATCTAAGCTTAACGTTACAGCAGGTCCCTCTGCAGCAGCCTTGCTTAACTTTTTTTCAGTGGCAAGATTATTTCCAGCTTATATCTATCAAACTGAAGGAGGATATGCGCAGCTCCCAGAACTGTTCTAGTATGAAAAGGAGAGGGGATGAGGCATGTTCCAATTATTTTGGAGCTGTTTACCTAACATACCTGATTACAGCTTCTCAGCAATTGAGAACTGTACTTCTGGAAATGTGCAAAGGAATTCAAAGGAATTCAAAGGAATTAGTGCACATACAGACTGTTGTGACTGTCTAGGGGGCAGCTGTTGTTGAAGGATGATCAAATTGTCCATATACGCTTTAAAAATAAAAATATTGCCTGACCTCTATGGCAAGACCTATTGCAGGTGAAGCTGTCTCATGAAAAAATCCCCAAATAGTGATTGAGCTTCAGGTTGTACTTCTGAGACTGTGTGCAAGTCTGTTTTTAATGGCAGAGTCCTGCCACAGGAGGAATTTAGCAAAGTAGCTATCAATCCAGGGCGCTTTTCTTGCCTTTTGGGCATCTAGAAGTACCAGAGATTAAGATGTCTAATTTGGTGCTTCAGTATTTTTTTTGTTTTTAGGTAATAGGAACTTAAATTTGTGTGTCTAGTTCTAGAGCTTCTATCTTGCCTACTCTGTATCACCTTTGTGTAACAAGTAGGAAGCTTCTGGTGACTTCTTGAGAGATGCAAAGCCATATTGAGACATATGAGAAACATTTCACTTCCCCCAACATAAGTCTATAGTGTACATTATTGAAACAAAAGTAAATAATAAATGTGAAACTCGGTGCACTGATCTGTTTGTAACATAAGAAATAACTTGATATCTCTCTTCTAAGTTTGAGTATTTTTCTCTTTTGTGACACAGTGGAGCAGGACTTTCCAAAAAGTAAGGCTAAATACCTTAGCTGCAGTCTAAAGGAGAACTCCAGATATTTGGCTACTGAAAGGTGACCCTTGCTGGGTTATGGGCATAGGGCAGCTGTTACAAATGTTAATTTACAATAAAACCTGTTTCTTGCTGCTGAATCTAAGCAAGGACTCAAATGCTTATGCTGCTTCTGCAGAAATGCTGTCCTCACTATCTTTGTATCACTGAATAGAAGTGATGATTGTGTGATACAAAGTAGAAAATTGGAAGCCACTTGAGATAGCTTTAAAAAGGAAAAAAGAAGAAAAAAAACACCAACCAAACCTCAAACCCACACCAAAATAGGCCTGGCACTCAGGGAAGGCAAAGTGTTTTGAGGGGAGAATCCAAGAAAAACAACTTGGTGAGAAACTCATGTGATATCACTGACCTTTAATACCATGTTTTTAAGATTCTTTTTTTTTTTCTCACCTTTTAAACAGGACCTAATTTGCTGTTTGTTTTTGGGCAGTAGGTTCCTTCCCCAAATGAACATTCCTTACTGTACAGGTAGAGAGGCTGGTCTCGACTAGTTTAACTTACATTTTAGGTAGTCTTTGTATTTTGTTTCCCTGTTTTTAAGCTTAATGCTCTAGAAATTATATTTTTCTGAAATGGTTGCTGTTCTTTTAGATTCCGAGTAATAGCAGTCGAAATCTTCAGTTTGTCTCTCTTGCTTGGCAGAGCTGAACAATACAAGAAACAACTGAATTTTGTCTACAGACTGGCAGACTCCATCATATCCATCAACTTGTGGATCACACTTAGGTTTGTTAGCAAAAACACGAGCTGACTTCTAGAATGACAGCTCTTCTGCAGCTTCATGGTTTGTTTATTTGTATTCTTATAGTGTTTAAAGGGCTGTGCGTTGCTGCTGAGTAAGGCTTCCCATCTGCCACTGGCAAGCAGAGGGGTTTTTCAGTGCTAGCATGGGCAGTGTTGAATGTAATTCTGAATTATTTCTTAATCTTGTAATGA